AATAGAAAATCGCGAATTTCTAAAAAGTCAGAAAATCTACGAGCATTTTATAAATATCAGAAAAAGCTCCACGATTTTCCAGATCGATTTTCTATAAACTAGAAATTAATTCCAAATTACAGTGTAAGATCTTGCTTTCTTAGCTTTTATGAATAAAATAGTGGAAAATAGTAAATAATTAATCCAGCTATAGAGTTAGAAGGCTAAATCCCTTTCTATCAAACTGCACATCAATTTCATTCCACGTTACAGAGCTAAATTATTAAATACTGGCGAAATAGGATGCGATTATTACTTCAACAGACGACATTTTCTTCTTTTAATCAATGTTGACTATGGCCTCTTCTGCTGTGGTATTAACTTTATTATTCTGTTTTTCAGCATCTTTTTCTTGAAAACTAAACGAAAATCAAAAAGAAAATTTAAAAATATTTTACCATTCTTTTCTTACGAACCAGACAAAAACGTCCTAAACAGATAGTATTAGTATTTATTGCGTTTAAACCGCGAATTTTGCACTGAATTCTTCAAAAAATTTGTCCCTGTACCAATTCTCCAGTCCCACATATCATTCATCTGCTCGAACACCACTTTTTTTTATTCCATCTAATCACTGTTTTACTTTTTCAGAGATGGTACCATCAAATTTCTTGATATTGTCATGTAAAAACTTGATTTTCATTTTAATCTGATCATGTGATTGTGCTAAACTGATATGAATTCAGATTTGAGTACTGAATTAAGATCATTCATGTCATTCCAATATTGGTTAGCATCGTGATCATCTCTTTTTAGGTTTAATGCAGAACACATAGACGTTTTTACGTTTTTCTAGTCATATACAGACACGCATCTGCCAAACAGAAGTTCAACCTGCATCCTGAAAAATCCGCAAATTTCTTTCAAAACTTCACAAATACACAAGGAACACAGGAAAAATTTCATAATCGTTTATGTCAAAATAAAGAGTATCAAACAATAGAAAGAGAAGATAGCATGAGCTATGTATTGGTATCGTATACAGATAATAAAAATGAAGCCGATAAATGTGTTTGATTTGTTGGTATTGGATGAATTATATGTATATTTAGTGACGGTACTTTATCAGTAGTCAGTAATCAATCTTTCAATTGTTCGTAAGAATCCGGTTGGAAATCAGGCTGGAGAGGCTTGTTGAACGAGTTTGAAGGAATGTTATTCAGTAACTCATTCTCACCTCACTAACCCCCCTGCAATAAATAAGAGTGAGTTTCTACGCAACATTTATTTGCAAGTTACGAGTTCAGAACAGTCTCGTCTGCAGTAAGAGAGAGCTTCACTTTCATTTAAACTTGTAACGAGTTTAAAGATTGCTATTCGGGGCAACCGCGAGGATTACCCAGATTATCGGTTACAACAGATTTGCAGACATATCACTTGATGGAAGTGTAAAATGACTGATCCATATAATTATAATTAAGGACTTTTTAGGACAGCCAAAACAAGTTTCCCGTGGGTAATATCCAATCATTATTTTTCTTCGATTGCTCTTCATAAAAGTGGGCTTTCTGCAAAAATGACTAAGCAAGTATCTAGCGTGGCTCTCATATAGGTGGTAATATTTTGCCAATTCGACCGTCCAATTAGAAGTTAATAATATCGTTTAAGTATCGAATATTAATGGGCACTCTATTATGAAATGGGTAGTAGGTGCTTCAAATGGAATCAGATATGTAGGTTTCAGAGGTTTCTTAGAAACCAATTCAACATAAAACTGTCTCCCATTCAAAACCATAACAGATGTAGAGATCGACCTTCCACAGAATTGTACAGGGCAATCTGTCTATGTAAAAAGACTATTGTTTTGCTCCTTTGAGTTTTAGAGAACTAAAATAGTTTCCAAAGATCCTCTCAAAACTATGTTTCCGACAATGAATTTGAGATTTGTTTTGCTTACAAAAAGTCCTGACCCGATCTTGGTTTCGAGTAACGAAACACGCTAGCCGCTGTCTTGCATCGTTCAAACGTTAGTCAAACAACACTAAAGTGCATTCTATTTTAAAATTCATAATAACACTATCCCTTGTTTTACCACTGTAACTATAACATGCACATGTTCCTCTAAACCTTTATTGCTTGTAATTTGTTTAGAAATGTCATGGCTACAAGATGCATTTCGTTTGATCTTCACTTAGGCCTTAGAAAAAACCGTAGTCTTGAATTTAATTGAAAGAATTACGGTTTCAACAGTTAAACGTCCTGAAAATTTGATTCTCAACATCAAGTTTCAGCTTTATTAACACAAACATATACCATTATTCTTTTTCTTTCTTTCGAATGAGATCTTGCTGAAACGTTTTCAAGAAAACTTATCGATTTTACGGTAAGAATCGATTTATTAGCGCATTTTTTCGGAAAACCAACAGTTTTCGCAAATTTAATTTTCTCGACAAATAACACGTTCAACAGCATCAAAAGATTTCGAAAAAGATTTGAAAGATACACAAAGAGTTTCTGGTCGAACTTTCACTTTTGACATGATAAAAGAACGTTTGCTTGTGCTGTGGGCAACTAATTATAATTGATAAACTGTATTAGAAGAAAAATTGAAACACATCGGAAGTAGACGGAGAAAAAACATAAAGTTATCACAAATTACTCATATATTCACTTTTTCTTGTAACTTGCCAGTATTTCAGATTAACTTTTGAGACATGCGGTAACTGGGCGTTAAAATATCTTCGATAGAATATCGTTCTTCACACACTTCGGATGCCTGTTCCTACTCAATACGTACTGTGCTGTCCAAAATGCTTTCGTTTCAGTGGAATTCTTTGCGGTAACAATGCAGATACATGAGAGTCGCAAAACTCGCGAGACAAACCAATCTTTTCTCCTTCTTCAACAAACGCTTCAGTGATTCTTCTAAGCAACTTATCGTTCTCTGGACTGGCCACGTTGAATTCTTTCACTGTGTAGTTACGATAATGTTTCAAACTCTGCATCGCAATAGTTACAGCGCTCCCTTCACATAAAGCAACAAAATATGTAAGTGGAAGCCATGAATCCACTTTTGTTTCCCAAACAATGTTAAAGAGATCAGTTGACTTAGAACAAGAGGACTCAATCAACCGCCATTTATTTTCAACCAGTTTCAAAACTGCATCAGCACTAAAATGTGGCGCGCCTGTCATTCCCGCACTTGCAATCATTCGGCCGAGACCTTTAGCTCCACGTCGCCTAACAACATCGTCTTTATCGCCAAGTACAATCAACAATCCATTGATCACCTCAGCCTTAGACGCACTTTCACCCAGATTGGCGAGAGCGTCAGTTGAATATCTTCTGACAAATACGTCCTCATCACCCAGTGCAGTCAACAATCCATTGATCACCTTAGGTTTAGCTGCACTTTCACCTATCTTACCGAGAGCTTCAGTTGCATATCTTCTGACAGATAGGTCCTCATCCCCAATTACAGTCAACAATCCATGGATCAGAATTAAAAGAATGAACAACTATCCCTAGCTCACTCATGCATTTATTCATAATACTACCATTAGAAGTGCTGTATCAATAGTCCTGGTCTATATCGTTCGTTCCACATATTAGCTCGCTAGTGAGACTAATTCATCACATATTATCGGCTAGTTTTTCCATTTCTCGTTCAAAAGTTCTACTCGCGCCATGCTGCGCTCATGATTTTGAAAATCGTGACTGGAATACTTATGTTTAGGCCTGCAAAAGTTCACGTTCGTTCCTTCAACGTGAACGTTAAAGCACTGGTGAACGTGAGCTTTTTTTATCCGAACTGTGTTCATATCGTCTGAAGTAAATATAAACTTCTGTTCTTGTACTATAGTATGAACATATATACTTCTGCTTGGTCTTATCTGATCAATAGAAACTCTAGTGAAGAATCAGATGGCAATGATCAGATTATTGCAATGTAAAAAGGATACTCCTTGATTCTCTGATCAAAACATTAATTCTTCCAAGAACAGATCGAGGATTTCCTGACCGGAAGGCTAGTTTTTCCGGCACTGGAACCGAAGTTCCTTGGTCCAAATCATTACATTAACTACATACATTTTCCTTTGTTATCATAACCCATTTGGGACAAACGGGCGCTGATTTTTCACTAAATATAACTGGTAATGGAAAAAGCCATTTCACTTGGAATACTACCAGGTGAAATTATTATACAACGTTTTGCAATGCTATTCATTCCACACAAATCAACACCGTCATATAAAATAAAGTTAAGGTTCACCAGATCATTCGCGTTCGCGTTCAAAAAGCGTCATGTTTAGCGTTAACGTTCAAGGAATGCGAACCTGCTTTAACGTAGCGTTCAAAAAGAACGCTAAAAAGGAACGCTGAACTTTTGCAGGCCTACTTGTGTTCGTATTCATAATATTGGTCCGGAATTTATCTCTTTTACAGATTCCCACCTGAACGCCTCAGAGTGGATTCAAAACGTTATTCATATTTTTCAATGAATGTCCTATTGAGAGTTATAGATAGTATGAAACAGGTCAAAAAGAAAAATTATGCAATGTCTAACATGGAAATGTAATGAATCTTTGCACAGATTGACTATAACACGCAGGACATCAAAGCCATTCTTCTCTTTTCAGTTAAAGCAATATCGTAAATTGCGCAATACGGTAATAAGTACCACTCGTGCGAAAATAGCTAATACATGGAAATCCATCATCTTACAATTTAAAAACCATAGAACATTTTGGTCAAAAAATAATAAGTCTGGGAAACATTACTCACAATTACGTCCCGAAAAATTGACCGTACAAGCGCTATATTTCCAATGGCGCCTTTTTCCCCAGTTACAACTGAGCGATTTACAACTCGTTTACAGTTGTTGCGCACAAAAGGAAAACGGTCTTATCTTGTGCAGAATTATTTTCTCTATACGCCTATGTCCTTCAAGAAAATTCTACTTTTCGGTTTCGAGTTAAGAAACAGCCGTTTAAAACGGGTCTTCAGTTACAGATTTTAAGAGATCTTTTCGCCAACCAAGAATATGTTCTTTCCTCTCTCGAACGGCGTATTTGGATTAGGCTATTATTTAGTTTTAGATTGAGAAATTCAATTCTTTTAGTCCTGAGAGAACATTTCTCGTTTTTTCATTTTAGAGCTCTACAAAGATTTCTTCCAATCATTTCTTTGTCAACATTAAGTTCTGTTACGGATGCTATATAAAAGGTTCATCTATTCGAGAAACGCCTAGAAAATTAGAAATAAGCCACTGTATGATTAATGATTCGGTTCTCAAAACACGAATTTTTAAAAAAAACTTCCTTTGAATACCCGAAACCCAATTTCAAAACGTGTACTTATGCCCAGATGTAGTATAGACATTACTCTATCTATCGATAAAACAAGAATTTCTTTAGCAACTTTCTCCTGTCACAAAATGCGTTGCCATGTTTTTTCTTCTACTGTACAGCCAATTTTTCTGGACAATGTCCGTATTACAGTGGCTAGTGACGGTAAACATAAAGTAGATCATGTATATAACATTCCGAGACACATCGCCGAGCTATTCCTAATTTCTATTTGCGGAAGAAACTGTGATTATTTTCATATATCACTATGGATAAAAATCGAGATACCTCTCGAGTATTTAGCAAATAAATCTGTGATTTCGACTATTGACCCATCTGGGCATATTTTTCTGAAATTCTTATTTATAGCTCATTTTGAAGCCTAAAGAATTCTCTATCTTTCTATGTGTAAGACATTCCGAGTCTGAGTAGAAGCATCAAAGAAGTATTCCTTTAAAATGTTAGGGTGGGTGAAAATCATGATACCTGTCTAGTATTTTGACAATTGTTCTATGGGCACATATGTTTGAGAAGCGTGTCAATGGCTCACTTTGAAGCGTGGAAAATTCTCTACCTTTCTATGTATGGGCTTTGGTCAACGTCTTTGAAATTGTACGAAAAATTTGAGAAACAAAGTGAATGACTGTCCTTGAACTGGTGATGAAAACTGGTAAGAAATAATTTTTTCAAAGAAATCAGGAGCAATTTTTGAAAGTCAGAAGTATCTGGAAGTAAAGTGGGAGGCATTTGTAGTCTTTTTCACTCAAAATCATATTGGGTTATTTTCCAGCACAAAACGATACCCATCCTTTACAGAATTCATCTTGGCTACTACAAACATTGATGCAGATAATGATAATCAGATATTTCCCACTTCATCATACTCACTTTTGATGTTATTTTTTAGATTCTTTAGATCTTCAGAGCATAATTCATCGAATGCAGGTTTAATAATGTCACATCATGAATATAGTATATTCATCACAATATACCTTACAATAGCGCCCAACAGGTGACGTCATCTATCGCGGGATACGTCGCGACAATCATAGTGCAATGCGCTGTGACGCGTATTTACCATTGACATGCAATCCTTGCATTTTTATGTTGGTTGCAGGTAATATTCACAAAAAAAACTTGTTTGTCGTTTTTCTCAAAATCGAGTTTTTTGTAAAATATCAATCTCCGAACAAATTTTTCTGCACTATATTTTATTCTATTAAACTGCGTTTTTTTTTATTTAATAGATAGATATATCCTTCTTCAGATGACGAGAAGGAATTTTTTATTTGACTCTCAATCTATGAGCAATCAGGTATTTTATGAAAAATCCTACATAGGGTTTTCAGAACTTCAAAGTTTTGTAGATCCCACCAAAGAAAAAAAAACAAAATTAAAAATACCCTTCCCCTTATCTGAAGCACCAAGGAGTTCTCTTTCAAATGAGACCAGCCCGAGCGCTCCATCTCGAAGTGTATTGAAAAAATCCTTGTACGCGTGGGACCCCATTTTGCCCCTTGGTACCTGTATATCTCTCGAACCGAAAGAGCTAGAGCCATGAAAAGGCCTTAATGTATATCTTTCAAATCAATTGACAAATAAATGCACAAAATTCTTAAAAAATGTTTTGACAGACAGATATACTCAAACGCGCACCATTGTTCCACATGCTATGCGAGCATCCGTATTTCTGCAAAGAAGATACGTCGTCAATTGACGGTGTCAATTGACTCACTCACCCAGTTGTGAGTGACTCCCAAAACAAATCTCAAATTCATCGTCGGACTGAACTCGTAACTTGCAAATAAATGTTGTGTAGAAACTCACTCTTATTTATTGCAGGGGGGTTAGTAAGGTGAGAGTGAGTTACTGAATAACATTCCTTCAAACTCATTCAACAAGCCTCTCCACCCTCAAATACGAAGGTTTCAGGGGTTTCTTATAAACCGATTCAATATAAAACTGCCTCCCATCGAAAACCATAACAGATGTAGAGATCGACCCTCCATAGAATTGTACAGGGCAATCTGTCTATGTAAAAAGACTATTGTTTTGCTCCTTTGAGTTTTAGAGAACTAAAATAGTTTCCAAAGATCCTCTCAAAACTATGTTTCCGACGATGAATTTGAGATTTGTTTTGCTTACAAAAAGTCCTGACCCGATCTTGGTTTCGAGTAACGAAACACGCTAGCCGCTGTCTTGCATCGTTCAAACGTTAGTCAAACATGTCCGCAATAAACGATAAAACCTGTGGATCGATAACGGCAGTAGAACGGTAGCGGTAGTACCGAGAACGGTAGAGCGGTAACGGCAGAGCGGTAACGGTAGTACCGGTGACGGTAAACCGGTAAACTACCGCTACCGTTGCATGCCTAGATATGATACTAATGGGAACACCAACGTTTAATACGAACAATCTTCCATGCCTGGCTTACTAATCCCCAACGATCGAAATAGAATCATTGAAGACGACATTCATATTGTGTGGTATTTGTATGTTGTTTAACATTTCATCTATTTTTGCTATAACATGTTTATCAATCATTCTACATCACCGTTTGATCAAGGATGGCACATAAACGAGACACACTAAATGCATATAATCAAATACAAATTGCTCGGGATATGAGAAAATTTCGACTACCGTGACAATCCTTTAACACCCTGAATAACGAGTTGACGACGCTAAAAAAATCAAAACATAAAGTTAATTGAACAATTGCGAAATAAGTACAGACTCACCTTTGCTGATTTTTCACTTGCTTCTTTACCAGCAGTCAAAAATTCGGCATGAGTTCTGACCGTATATTTATTTGCCTTGTATGGATACAAAACTATACCATAATCCTCATGGCATAGGCCAGAAAAAAAGGAAATGTAAACAAGTGTTTCAATGATATTGAAGAAATATACCTTGAGTAACACAAAAACTACACGCATTGTAGCCGTTAAAATTTATTGTCTTTATAAGTAACGATCGAGCTGGTATATCCGATAGGAAAAATTGTGTTTGAATAATAAAATTAAAAAAAATGACTAGTTGATTTTTTCACTAATTCATTTTATTGCAAAACAAACACGATATAAAGCAGATAAAAGTTCAGTCTAAACCACCTGGTTCGTATCCATCTTCATCGCTCGACATAATACTATATAAATATCCATCACTTTCATCATGTTCATCATCGCTGCTGTTGTCATCATTATTTCGAACAATCTTGTGTCTTTGTTGTTCATTGACTTTTCGTGTTCTTTTACAACTAAAAAACATTTGTCTATCGTGTTCTTTCGAAGTATCTAAGGCAATAATACCATGGTTTGTCCAATAACCACATGAATTGAACAGCCGTTCAAATAAATCATGTAATTTTTTATAACCATCATTGTACAGAGTAACCGCCAAACCAACACCTATATCAATCATTAAACCACTAGCATAACGATGTTTCGGTACTAAACTTCATAATATTCCATGAAATGTTTCATTTGGGTTCTGACCCCGTCCTCTAACAACTTTTTTGAAAGCCTCTTCAGAGCATAATTCATCGAATGCAGGTTTAATAATGTCCATACAAGCTCTAGGAATCGAATGTTGATCATGATCATATGTGTCGCTATCCTGCAAATATTTGCACCATTTCGAATCACAGAATTGATGTTGTGGATCTTGATCTGTTGAATAATAATGATAAAAGATGGCCTGTGCACTATGATACATGTTTGTCAGATTTCCTAAGTTTTCCCGAATGTCCTAAGTACATTTTGAATTTTAAGATATGTTGATCTGTTAATCGACCAGCACCACCAATCTTCGAACCATCTTGTAATATCTTGTTCTTGTTCTGCGTTTTGATCTTTTTGATGTGATTGGACAATCTTTTAGAGTAATGATTCACATCTTCTATCTTTTGAACTTCAACGTTTTCATATGGTGGATCATCAAGCAAAGCTTTGTGCACTTGGCATCATCATCCCCTATGTAGTAATGGTATTGAACATTGTATTTTGATATAGACCGTTTAAACATATCTTTGATTAAAGTTCTTTCCAAAGAACCAGAAGAACCAGCGTAATTAATTTCACATGGATGAATTCTCACGAAGATTTCATATTTTTCTGAATTTGATTTTCGAATTGATTGTGCAGCTATACATTGAGAACATTCCTTTGATGATCTTTCTACACCAATAACCTTTGGTCTTTTTGTTGTTGAACAGATATCAGCATTTCGATGAGCACTTGAATGACCACGAGTTATCCATGACCCATCACCACTGACCTTTAAATTGATACTACTGGCTTCTTGTACAGCTTCTTTGACTGAAAGATCCACTGAATTTTGTTGATGAATTTGAATTATATCCAATAGATATGCATCAGTTGCTGTATAATGATCTTCATCAATCGGTGCTCGAATATTTAATGCAATACATAATTTTTCCAAACCACTACGTCCAATATCTGTTAAATGAGCACTCAATTGAGCACGAATATTGATTTCACGACATTGCGTCATTGTTTGTTGTTTCGATGTTGGTAATTTAACTGCATGTTCATAATAAGAACAAATAAATTCCAATGATTCTCTCGTTTACGACATTGAATGCTTCCAAGCCATTGCTTATGACAGTTTATACAAATTGTATTTTTCATTAAGTTAATCAAATTAGTTTTATCAATTATACTATTAGTATTGATATAATCATCATTTTTGCCACTATTATTGTCATTTGGTTCTGTATTATTCAAGGTAGTTGGTGGCAGTGTAGTTGTTTTCCGGAAATTGGACACTAATCATATTGCAAATAGACCTAATAGATCTCAATATATTTTACATATACACGATATTCCACTATCCATTTTGTTATCAATTCACTTTGCGATTCAGCGTCATTATTCTTACTAAAGATTGTTTATTTTTATCGTGTCGATCCTCACACAGCAGATTTTAAATGGGATAGAAAAGCAGTGTTCATCGTCTTATCTTTGGAGTCTCTCTTTAGAAGTGTGCTTCTGGTTGAAACTCCTAGTGGGTGTCAATAGTTTCTTCTCGACACGTCCAGAAGTGCCAATAATCATTCCGTGAGACAAGGCGGCGCACATATATATATTTTCCATTTAATGATGATTCAAAACATTATCCATTATGTAAGTCGAGTATAGCAACGTACAGTATAAATTCATTTTCTAATTACAAAACATTAAC